CCAAAGCTTGTCCGTCCCTAAGAAGCCCTGCACTGACTCAGCTCTTAAATGTTTCCTCTCTTTGCAAAACATCATTATACCCCAGAGGAAAGAATGTGCGCTCAGACGCGCCTTTGTCTTGAAGGATGTTGAAGACAAATTCTTTGCACTCTCGGGACATTCTGCACACAGTAGGCCCTTTTTTCTTGGAGGCCTGAGCTTCAGTTGAATGTATTTTTCCCATGGTCCCATCTATTGTGACTTCCTGGGATGTTTCATTCTTAACAACCGAACTAGAGAAGAAAATATGTGTTGTGGTCTCTAGGCTTAAAAGAAGCTTGAGAAACTCTTGTTTACAGCGTTGGCTTATGACCTGCAGCTAAGGTGGTTGTAACTCCGTTACTGAGGCACTTGTGTGCCAGGCAATTAGTGTGGATCCGAGCAGGGAAAACCAGTAAGCGTCTGAGAGATGCTGCTATCGGGACAGGAGGGCAGGCCATGGAGACCGCGGCTCGCTTTGACGATGCCAACATAAACCAAATAACCGTCTATCCCAGCTGTCCCGGTGACCTAAGACATCTAAGACAATAATACAAAAGCAAGCAGACACACAGTGCTCATGCCCCGTGTCCTGTTAGAAGCCCTTGATTCCCCTTGCTTGGGCTTATTCTGCGGCTGCAGCAGTAGTGGCTCCACAGACCCGGACTCAGTCATGGGACATTTCCTTCTGCATACCAGCAAGGTGCTCACTTCACATTTATTGGTTCACGCCCTTGTGTCATGGCCTCTCTGATGTCCTATAAGACAGCTAAGACACCTGAAAACACTCTCAGATCCAGGCTCCAGGGAATCTGCTTTGACCCCAAGTATCTTGGACTCCAGGAGAGCATTCTTTCTGCTGTTCGGAGCCTTTGTCATTAACGTGACAAGTCCTGGAAGGTTTATGGTGGGCCTGGTTCTAGGCAATGTCTGTGTCTTCATGGAACAGATGCCATCGGAGCAAGACCGCAGACAAGAAGCCAACACCAGTAAATACAACACAGGTCAGGCTGCAGAAAAATGAAGCAGGGTGAGAGGCCTCGGACATGGCGGGGTCGTTCTGTGACACAGGGAATTTAGGTAAAGCCTTGCTGACACGGTGACATACAGCAAGAGACTGAAGTGGGTCTTGCAACCATCTAAAGTGTTGCAATGGGCATAGCAAAGGCCCTGAAGCAGGGCACGGAGGCCACAGTGGAGTAAGTAGGTGAGAGTGTAGACAGGTGGTTAGAGAGCCTCAGTGCACATCTCTCCCAGCTCCCTGGGCTGCCAGGGGCCTTTTATTTTACCAAAGCAGGAGGAGCAGGCTTGGAGCAGTTGGAGGAGAGAAAAGGCAGTTGGTAGCTGCCCTTATCAGACTCATTAGGCCAAGGTGTGAACAGCCCAGAGGGACGACTGGGGAGTTGGACCAGTGGCCTCTCTCTGCAGGAGGTGCCCCTGTAATGATGGGGGGGTGGTAGCTGAGCCAAGGCTAAAGCAGTGAGGTAGCTGAGAAGAGCTCCCACCTCAGCTGTGTTACTAGGTGAAGGTTTCTTCCTGACACATGTCTTCTGAAGGGAAGCGGTAAACGGAGAGACCCAGTTTGAGCAGACAGTCACCCAGCAAAGCAAAGTGGATAGACAGTACGTGCCAATGGGAGAGACAGGAGCAGACCAACTGGGGTAGCAACTTACTGGGTCCTATGTTGTGAGTTTTCAAGATGTTTATGGATATTTATGAGGCAGTGGAATTCATGAAATAAGATGACCCTTTTCCCCCTTCCAAATCATAGCAGCTCCAATATCCCCTTTAGAATATTTCTTCCCATGATTCTCTCGAAAAGCTTACAAAGAAAAGGGATGGGGGGGGCACAAAACAAATTATTCTAATGAGGTTGGGGTTTTTTGAGGATGCAGGCCCTTCAATAGCAAGGAGGAGTTGTGGCTCAGAAAGCACCTGGTGCCTTCATTTCTGATGCGGCAGCAGCTACCCAACTGCAACTCATGAGGGGGCATTGGGACACGAGGAGCCACAACCAGCATGATGTAGCAGCTGCTTTCCTTAGTTCCCTCAGGTCAAACTTCTTGCCTGCTCAGCCTTAAACACATCTTGTGGGTAGGGGTGGCAGATTGTGATCAAAGATGACTCCAGAGTCTGAGATCCAGATGTTGACAATCTCTAAGTTTGGGGCTGGAGTAACTGGAAGAAGGCAGTCGCTACTAAAACAAAAGAGGCTGCAGGCAGAGTGCATTTATTGACTCTCAGGGTGTGGTGTGACACTGGGCGCATAGTCAGTGACATTTATTAGGCATCATAAAGGTACCATCTCAGGCATGTTGAGAACTTTCTGGTAGGAGCTAGGGCCCAGGATGGGAGGAGATAGGTGCTCAGAAGACATAGGTGGGCAAAGAATGTTAAACTCACCAAAGCCAGGGAAACCATCTCAAAAGTAGGGTAAACAGGGAAGCAACCGAGGGCAGAAACCTGCAGCAGTCTAATAAGTATCAGTCATGGCAAGGAGCCAGCGCACGGGCCTATGGGAAGGGGTGACTGTGACCGTGGGATGGTCAAGGAGGGCACGGTGGTTTGGATGAGATGAACGTGCTGTACATGCTTCCAGATACTTGACTATTTGGTTCTCAATTGATGGTGCTGTTTGGGAGATAGTGTGGCCTTGTTGGAGGACGTGTGTCACTGTGTGGGCGGGCTGAGGGGTCTCTTTTGTTCACGTTTCCCTCAGTGTGGCAGTCACTCGACTTCCAGTTGGAGTCTCAGCTATGCCTCCGGCACATCAGCCTGCGTGCTACCAAGCCCAGCTCCATGACTGAAACTGTAAGCCACCCCAGTTAAATGCTTTGCTTTATAAGAGTTGTCGTGGTCATGGTGTCTCTTCACAGCAAGAAAACCCCTAAGATACTACGAAAATGGCACCACTGTGATTGAGTGTTTGATGCAGAGAGAGGGAGAAAAAAAGGACTTTATAGAGTCCCACTCTCTACTTCCTCCAATGGTTTTTAAAACAGAAACATGAGTGCCTTCCTTAAACCAAACAACTTTGCTTCCTTAACAGCCACCCCCAGAGGCGGATGACCACCAGGTGCCCTAGGAGTGTCCACTGGGTCAGACTTCCTGGGTTCACCTAACAAGCAAGTTAGACTTGCTGGCTCTCGAGAATGGCTATAGAGACGCTTCTCTTGCTCCATTTTCTGTGCCTTGCTTTCAAACGAATCTATTCCAAGTGCTGCATAGACTTGTACTTTGTGATCTGTGGCAAGTGCTGTGTAAAAAACCGCGTGGGAGGGCTCATGAGATGGCTCAGTGTGTAAAGATGCTTCCTGCCAAGCTGGAATGACCTGAGTTCGATTCTGAGACCGACATGGAGGAAGCAGAAAACTGACTCCTAAAACTGGTCCTCTGTGGCATGTGCCACAAATAAAATGTTTAAAAAAGATCTGTGTATATTAAATTCCCTGTCTTCACCGTATTGTGCAATTTTTTTGCTGTTTTTTGTTTTTTATGTTTTAACATGTTGCCGTCCTCAGGTTAGAATTGTGGGTCTCAGTCGGAGAAAACTGTTAAGTACACAGTCAATTTGGCAACGGAGTAGCTGCTAGCTGGGCCTCCTGCTAGCTGGGCAGCAAGTTGCAGGAGGAAGAAGGCAAAAGCTCTGTCTTCAAGGTTCGAACCCTGGAAGTTGATGAACCGGAAAGTGAAAACAGTTTCAGCCGCCAAGCTGAACTTCAGATCTGCCCTTTAACCCGAGCATTTCCAAGCATGCGGGACCCACCCAGCTCTCCCGACACTCCATTATCGTGACTGAATACCACTTCTGTTTTCAAAGTCGTCCCAGTGCCACGAAGCCTCCTGATGCCAGTCAAATGAGACTTGGGCTGAACTGCAGCTCACTAGGCGTCCACCTCAGCTCCCGTCTTCAAAGCCTTACAGTTCCACATGCTGCCCGGGGGCTATTTTCAAACAGTGTTTCCAAAGTGATTTTTTTTCACATTCCTAGTAATGTGAGTAGGCCTAGCAATTAACTAATTTCCAGCAAAGGCTGAAATATCAAAGGTTAGTCCCCAGAGATGACAGCCAGCAAAAGAACGAGCGCTCTTATCTGAAAATTCAGCTGTGTTGATTCTGCAACCCAAGGCTGGAAAATGGCCAGGGGACTTATTAACCTTTTCAGGCTCCTCTAAGATTCCTCTCGTGTCTAGGATGCCACTTAAGCCCAAGAATTCCGGCGTCTGCTGCTCCTGCGGGGAGGCCTGCTGCTGGGAGCAGAGTTTACTGGCATGGGCAGGAGCTTGGGGTCAATGGGGTCCAAGGTTAAGTTTTTAACCGAAGTCTAGGTGTCTGTCTCACTTGGCATCTCTGTCAAGTTCAGGACCACTTAGGGCATAGCGCAGGCCCACAGCAAATGGAGGATGCCCCAACATGTCTACTGAGGGCTTCACCCTGACCGCAGCTTGAGTCACAGCCTGCTTTCTCTCTATCTTGTCTTTGCTTTCTGTTCTGTAACCTCTGACTTTCCTGATCTTTGAAGTGCAGTTCTGTTGTTGTTTTGAGCGAGAGTTCCACGTAGCTCGGGCTAGCCTCGGACTTGGTGGAGAGACCTTGAACTTCTGACCCTCCTGTTTTTACCTCCCAGGTGCTGGGGTGCCTAGCCATGCTTGGCCACCGTGCTCGGTGTGTGCAGCTCTGGAGATCAAGCCTGAGGCTTCATGCATGCTGAGAAAGCATTCTGCCAACTGAACTCCTCCACCCAATGTAGCTCTGCTTTTCTGTTTCTCATTCCTATTTTATTTTTCTATCCTCAATCCCTAATACATTCCCCAGAGGCCTGCCCCAGCCCTAAGGCTGAGGTCTGCAGAGCTGTGTACCTCAGGTCTAAGACAGCTACTTTCACCAATGAAGAACACCGCCGAAAATGTAGACACACACACACTGTTTACAGCGTGGTTTAACCAGTTTGAATATACATCAAGAAAAGCAACATGTATTGATTCAAGTACAAAAAGAGAATTTATTCAGAAATAGGTAAGTCAGCAAGCTTTTACAGGCAAATTCTCATCACATGAATATGGCAATAGAGTTTTGCAATGGCAGTGGCTCCCACTCTGTGGTAGCACAGTGATAAGCCTGGATCTCAAATCCACGGGAACCTGGAATGAAACACAACATACAAACCTGTAAGTCGGGAAAGAATGGCTTATTATATCCTTTCTGCTAAGGGGGTGGTAGCTCTGTATCCATTTCTCTTTCAGCATTAATTCTGGTAAAGATTGGATTCATGTCATCAGAATTAAAATTTTATAAGTTGAGTACCTTCTATAAAAGCCAGCTTTCAAATGTTTGAACTATCTGAAATATTGGTATAATCAAAACCCACTTGGCAATGGCTAAGTGCCTGTGCCCTCCCTTGGCATCTAGTATGCAGTCATAAGCTACACTTGGGTGCAGATTCAAGACACGACAGGAAGTAGGCATGGTGGGGTGCTCCTGTCATCCTAGCACTTGCGGGGGGACTCACAGAGAATCAGGAGTTCGAGGTTACCTTTTCCTCTGCTACAGAACTCAAAGCAGCCTGGGCTATGTGAGACCCTGTCTCAAAAACCCCAAACCAAACAGTCACGGAGGACAGCAGCAACCACCACAAAATACTACAGGAAAAGATCAATTCTGCACTTCTCCAGGTTCGTGGTTTATTTTATAATGAATTAACTACACACATGGCCTTTTAAAAATGATCAGAACACAGTATCAGATTGACTATTTGGAACACAAAACTCAATGAGGTGGAAGTTTTTTTTGTTTTTGTTTTTGTTTTATCTTTAATGAATACAAAGCTCTTGTTCTGAAAAGTCCCAAGTAACCTGGGTAGCTATTGCCCACCTCAATGAGATAGTGCACACGCCCTCCTTCTTTCCAGAGAGCTCACATCAGAAGAGGGTTACTTTACAGTGAATCAGCTTGACAAACTGTGAGGGCAGATAGCCAAGGTGAATGCCAGCAAGCTTGCTGCCCTTTTTGGGAGAGGATGAGGACACTCCCACTCTTGTTCCTTTGTCTACGATCCTAATGGAAACAGGAGAAAAACATCAGGCAAACTTCAGGTGCTGTTTGACTTTCTACAGAACCCTTGATCACTATTCCTTCAAACTGTTATTTAAAAAAAAAACAAAAACAGAAACAGGGAAGGTCTGAGACACCGAGACAAGCAAAAGTTCCCAAGGAGACATGGTCACTAGAGGTAGCATAAATCTGGGATGGGATCCCAGAATAGAATAAAAAAGAATGTTAGGAATCTGGACAAGGGATGTGGTTCCGTTACTAATGAGGCATCCATGCTGGCGGAATGAACAGAGACATTTTCTGGAGAGGGAAGGCTGACTGCGGGAAGGTGGGAGCTCTCTCCGCTAGTTTTACAACAGTTCTGTGAATCCAAACTGATGCTAAGTTTGCATAGAGGGTGTTTGCCATAGACCGTTCTCATGGTCCAATATGGCTTCCTCCACCACCCTGCACACCTGTCAGCACCCAGCAAATCTCTGTTGCTGCTGTGCTCTGAATCAGACCCAGTGACCATCTCTAGACCTTTTCAAAGACAAATACTCATCTGGCAGCATCTTCTAAGTGACTCTACACACCTAGAACTAGGGATAAGGTCACAGGAATCAGATGAACGAGATCGCAGCTCTACGGCTGTGATAGAAGACATTTGCCCTTGACTACTTGCTGAGACCCTGACCTTCCTGTGTTCCAAGTCTCCACGTAGCTTCCTAATACAGGAGTCAAAAATGCAAGATACCAGCCCAAAGACTATCTTCTGCCACACAGTTGTGCATGCGTGATTAGAATTAGAATCAGTGGGTGTTGCTGTGTTGAGGATGGAGGCACTGTGTGTGACAGTGAGATGGGCCTGTGAACTACGGTGACTATTGATGGGTAGCAGATTCCTCACAGGACATCCTTGTGGGTGTTGCTCTATTTGGAAGCCCCAGGCTTGCTTTTACACAGAAAAATAAAAAAAAACAACACAGCACTCGTTTTCAAAAGAATATTTTTGAGAATTTCATATGTAAATGCTATATTTCCAGCATTCCCTCCAACTTCTCCCTATTCCCTCCCTTTCTTTGTTATTATTACACCTATCTATACACCTATGTATACATACATAACAACCTGCTGGGCCTATTTAGTGTTGCTTGTATGTATATCTTTTAGTACAGACTGTTGGGCATCGAATGATATTGGGCATGTTCAGGGTGTGATGGTCATACATGCAGGGTCCATTGGATATTGGATAATCGATTATGGGACTCATTCCTGGGGAAGACTAATTGTTCCATTCTTGTAAGCCATGAATTGTCTGCAGCTCCTTATCTGGGGTTGTGAGATTTCCTCATCCATGTTGACACATTGGCTGTTGTCATTCAGGTCTTATCCAGGCAGCCAGCCATGTTGTTGATATTTCATGGGTGGAGATTCCCTGCCCACCCAGTACTCTTTGTATGAAATGTAATATACATTCATAAGACTGTACAAATTGTAAGAATGTAGCTAGACCAGTTTTCACAACAAATAACAAGTCCTCCTTATGACATCAAAAAACAAGACCCCTTTCAAGCCCAGCGTTAGTCTTGTTCCATACTGCCCAAAAGTAATATCTGTTATTCTTTTGCTCTGGTCCCTTTAAGGGCAAACCATGCCCACTCCCAGCCACTTCTGACCTCCCTTGTTGCCATCTTAACTCTTCCTCTTCTGTCCCTCTCCCCTGGCGTGTGCACATGTGTTTTCCTCTCTCTGTTCTCTTTTCTATTTTTGCCTTTCTTTCTCTCTTTCTTCTTTAAGTAATAAATGTTTACCCTTATGTTTAGCCTTATGTCTATTTACTATGTCCTGTGAGCTTTTTATCTGCTGTGCCCGCCCGCCTGACTTGTCCGGCCGCATGGTGGGACCAGCCTACCACCCTGGAGATCTTGCAGGGACCCACAGCCATCCTTGTCGGACTAGCGGCTGGCTGCTCTACGAACCTGCCAGGGAACACGCCTGCCTTTTAAAGAACAAAAATGTCTGCTCTTGCTTCTCAGAAGCCCTCTCAGAGCTGAGTTCCGTCTACATCTTGAGCTGTAAACCATGGAAGAATGAGGCAGGGGCCTTGATTGTTGAGGTTCTTTCCCCAACTACCCAGACCCGAAAAATCACACAGAAACTATATTAATTATAACACTATTTGGCCAGTGGCTTGGACATTGTTCCTAGCTAGTTTTTACAACTTAAATTAACCCATTTCTATTAATCTGTGTATTGTCACAAGGCTGTGGTTACCAGTAAGATTCTGGTGTCCTGTCTCATTCAACAGTTACATGGTGTCTCCTTGACCCCACCTACCCTCTCTCTTTATCTTTATTCATATTTCCTGCCTGGCTTTACTCTGCTAAGCTATTGACCAGAACAGCTTTAGTCACTAACCAATAAAAGCAACACATAGACAGAAGCACACCCCACATCCTAAGACTCACAAGTGAGTGGAAATGTGGTATTTTTCTTTCTAAGCATGACTTATTTCTCTTGATGTGATGATCTCTTATCCCCATTTCCCACCAAAATGATACTACATTTTTCTCCACGAGAAAGAAAATGTCACGATGCATCTATGCCACATCTTCTTCATCCTTTCATGTGTTGCTGGACCTTGAGCTAATCCCACAGCCTGGCTATATATTCTGAGATCTTTAATGGTTAAGTCTCGGTGTCCCTTCCTGCAGTGCTCAGTATGGAGTTTTACTAACGTCATCCATTAAATATTATGATGATATAAACTTCTGAGAGTACTTTTGAAAGAAAGTGTGATTGGGTCAGCATGTGCATACTTCCTTAAGCTCAGGGTGAAAGACATCAGGGATGAGAGTTACAGTAACAAGCTGGTCCGGTTGGTTGCTTGCTGGGCTAACTTGTATTTGTGCTAAAACAATCCATTTCTATGACAAGCTAAGACTTTGAGAGCTTGGTCCTTTTCCAAGAAGCAAGTATGCACATTGTTACAATCCAGTGACTTATGTTAATGATTTTACAACAGTCCCAATGTCACCTCTTGGTCTTTATTCATGCATGTTACTCTGGGCAAAGTCCAGCTACAGTCAGAGGTGTGCAGGAAACTAAATCTATGTTATCATTTCCGAGCACGCAGATTGGAGTGGTGCCAATATTTATTCTCCTGATTTTTCATGGTTTACAGTGGAAAAGTGCAGAGAGTGGAGTCAAGGGCAATGGGTTTGGATCTTGACTCCCCCGTTCATTGGCTCTGTGACCTTGGGCCATATAGGATTGCAGGAAATATCCTAAAACCTTAGTGGCTATAAATAAAACTGGGGCAATGGCACTTGCAGGAATTTGGAATTGGAAGACAGACAAAACTGTGCATATGAAGTGCTGACATGGTGGTTAGTGCAATGTATTTGATACCTGTGGATTTTTTTTCCGGCTGAATTTATTTTTTCAGTTCCAGACATGGAATCTGCTTTCTAGATGTTTCTTTGTTGGTTTTTCATGCCATGGGGTTTCACTTCTGTCCCTGTGTAGTGCAACGCAAGCCTTCAGTATCAGGAATTTAACAACAATTGCCCTCTCAGCCTCTCCTTTGGGTAGGAAGACATGTATGGTACACCACTCCCACCTCTGCCTGATCAGAATTGTGCATCTGCCTCAAGGGAAACAGATCCAAAGTCTGGCGGGGGATATAGGGTGCTAAAAGTGCAGCTGGACCCAATGAGTGGACCCTGTTGGGAATGGGGACTAGCAAATACTGGGGTGGCAGATGAATAGGTGCCACAAGTTAGAGTCAAGGGCATTCAGTTTGACCGACTGTAGGGCAGAGGCTGGAGACCTGCCGTCCAGATCGGGTTGCATTTCTATCTGATTTGGGCCCTCCAAGGAGCCCTCTTTTCCTGGGATGTAGGAGCATGCCTCCATTCCCTAAAACCAAATAGCATGGGTAGAAAGACATCACCACCAAGCACACAGAAAACACATGCTTCTCCAGGGAAGCCAACTCTCCTGTCCAAATCTCTTGGAAATGCACACTTTTCAGATGAGATGCCATTCAAAGGTTAGGCTTCTGACTGTGATATTTATAGAGCTGGATCTAATACCAGCATGGAGACTAGAAACCTGGTGAGCCAACAAGCAGCACTCAGCCGAGGTCAGGATGGGCCTTTGCTGGTCGTTTCTCTATCTTCTTGTTTGTTTCTCCCATGGCCATAGGAAGAAAGCGTTACCAGTCTGGGGCTAAAGATGTTGTATGAGTAAAAACATAATGATCATGCAGGCAACATTTTAATTTGCTATCAAAGTCAGCCATGCTCAGATGCTGGGAAGAAAACCGAGATGACAGCACCGAGAAAAAAAGACCATCTTTTGCTCGTGCATTTGTTAGGAACACAGGCATATCCAGTCTGATGGCATGCATTTGTAAGCCCCTGGCAGACATTAAAACGGTCAGCTTTGAATTCTCTTTCATGAACTGGGACAATTTAGTGAATGAAACCGAGGCTCAGTTTGTACTGAGACAGTGAGGTTGTCTTCTCTCAAGGCATTTTGCCATCGGCACAGCGGATGGGAATACACAGACATTTTAGAGGCACGTGCTCCCATTAGAGAGTGAACCATTCCAATGGCAGCGAAAGTCAGTCAGTTTGCCTGAACACTCAGAGTTCTGATTGCTCTGCTCTAGTTTTCCTAGTTTATATTACGAGATACATTTATTTGAAATTATTTGTTTCACACCTGCAGCACACAATCTCGTAATTTACAAGTTACATGAATTATGCTTTTCTATTTCTTGCGCTGTGAGCTCCCAAAGCTCAGAAGTTTTATCTTTTCCACTTGTCTCTTCTCAGCCTTGGAAGCAGTGGCTAGCTCACAAAGAGTTTGGAGCACAGTGAGTGAATTCGTAACATTGTAGCCCTTTAATCTCCAAAGGGGATTTCATCTTTAAAGCTGATTGGAACACAGTGAGCAGAGTTGAGAGTGGGTTTAACAGCTGAATCCACATGCCGGCTCTGGTGTCACTATCTACACTTGATTAAACAACACGACCTCCAAGCCCAGCCCTGACCTGTACAGTGGGAGTGATACCGCTGCATTGCAGGTGTCCTCTGAGGTTGACCAGATGGAGAGGAAGGGAAGCTCCTGGGACAAAGTGGTACCCAGGGTCTTCAGAAGTCTCAGAAGGCAGGAGTGGCTGGGAGCCAGGGCTGTGGAATCTGACCCAGGGTCTAGCAGTCTAAGTTCTGGTCTTTATGTGAGATACACAGAAATCACACTGCACTGTGCCTGGCACAGGTGAATGATGGACAGCTCACATTGCCAACAGAAGTCAACAACTGTTAGAATTATCTTTCTAAAAGGGAACAAATACATTCACATCCACTTAGGAGGGAGAACAAGAAATTTTAAAGAAACTCAGGATGAGAAAATTTCTGTAAGTGAACATCAAATCCAGGTGTGTATTTTCTGATAACCAAGGCAATAAAAATAACCACAATGCTTTACATAATTATCAATTTCAGTCATAACTAGTCAACTACAGATGTGATGTCCAGTATGGGAATCAGTAGCCACATGTGCCTAGTGCACATTTGAAATGGGGCAGACCAGAACTAAAATGTTCTAAAATAAAAATTTAAATATTCTAGTTTTTAAAGGCAGTTGAAAATCGAAATGTCATTAATATCTTTGCATATTGATTGCACATTGCACTTGTGGTATTTTTAGTGACCTTGATGAACCAAAAGATATTGACAAAATTCATTTCACCTATTTTTACCTACTGAGTATGGTTCCTAGGGTGAAAAGTTTTAATTCTAGAAAAATATTTTTAAATTATTATTTTAAGTAGTGGTATATACCTTTAATCCCAGAACTTTGGAGTGAGAGACAGGCTGATCTCTGTGAGTTCAAGGACAGCCTGGTCTACATAGTGAGTTCCAGGACAGCCAACACTACAAAATTGTTATTTTACTATTTAAAATTTTATTTGCTTTAGTGTGTATATGCATGTTTGTGTGTGTGTGTGTGTGTGTGTGTGTGTGTGTGTGAGAGAGAGAGAGAGAGAGAGAGAGAGAGAGAGAGAGAGAGAGAGAGGTGAATGTGGTTGACTGTGTGCCACTGCTTATGGTGGAGTTCAGAGGATAGCTGGGAGCTGGTTCTGCCCTTCCACCTTGCTGAGTGAAGGTCTCTTATTTCTACCGTGCTGTATAATAAGAGCCAGCTGGTCCATGCACTTCCTGTTGATCCTCCTGTCTCCGGCTCCTATCTTGCCAGGCCCGAGAGGCAAGCACCTCTACCTATTGAGCCATTTTGCTGGTCTAACAGTTTTTAATTGTCCATGTGGGGGCTGAAGAGAAAGCTTGGCAGCTAAAGAGTGTGGGTTGCTCTTCTAGAGAACTTGGGATCCGTTCTCAGCACCCATGTGGAGGCTTTCAACCCTCTGTAATTCCAGGGGTTCCAACACCTCTTCTGGCCTCCTGGACACCAGGAACACATGTGGAATGCTTACATACACACACATAAAATAAATAGGTCTATATTTTCAAAGTCCATGTAGCTCACATTTTTAGGTAACATCATATGTATTTTAAGCTAACACTGAAAAAAATTTTTTCCTCATTGAATGAATTTGTTATTTAGTTTTTGTATCAAATTATGTATGACATAATGATAACTATACAATAATAAAGCAGAAATTATTAAGCTGGGATACATAATAGAACTGTATTGAAGTATAATAAAATGTTAGTGTAAATATCAGATGTTACAGATAATATATATATATATTATATTATATTATTTATATATATATTTCTGTTACCTACAAAAATGGCATTGGATGACCAACATTTTCACCAAAATATGCAGGGAATTCTGATAAATATCTGGGTGAGAGAGAAGCAGTAATAACAATAGATGCCATTGGTTCCACGGGATCCCTCCCTGCCCCCACTACTGCCGCCCTTTTGTCTCCTGGGTCCTGGGAATACCAGCTATCCCTGCTGCAGTGCTGAGGAGTTCTATCCAGAGAGAACCTTCATCTGGCGATGGATGGACATAGAGACAGAAACACATATTGGAACACTGGACTTAACTCCCTAGATCCAAATGAGAAGCAGAAGGAGGGAAAACATGAGCAAGATAGGCAAGACCAGAGGGAACCTTCATCCGACGATGGATGGCGATACAGACGGAGACCCACATTGGAGCACCGGACTGAGCCCCCCAAGGTCCAAATGAGGAGCAGAAGGAGGAAGAACATGAAAAAGGAAATCAGGACCGAGAGGGGTGCGTTCACCCACTGATACAAGGGGACTGATCGAATAAGAGCTCACCAAGGCCACCTGGACTGGGACTGAACGAGCATGTGATCAAACCGGATTCTCTGAATGTGGCTGACATGGGGGCTGACTGAGAAGCCATTGACAATGGCACTGGGTTTTGTTTCGTCTGCATACTGGCTGTTTGGGATCCTAGTCTGTTTGGATGCTCACCTTCCTAGGCCAGGAGGGAGGGGGGAGGAACTTGAATTTCCCACAGGGCAGGAAACCCTGACTGCTCTTTGGACTGGAGAGGGAGGAGGAGAGGGAGTGAGGGGGGGGAGTGGGGGAAATGGGAGGGTATGGGGAGGAGGGGAGGAGTGGAAATTTATATAAACAAACAAAAAAGAGAAAAAAAAGTACCTTCTGCCAATACACATCCACTGATACAGCAATAATGTCTGTTGTTCTTAGCATTTAGGTATGGAGTGCCTTTTTATATCTATTGCAAGGGGGAAATGGGAGTATTAAATGAATAAAGAATTCCAAATAATAGCATCATAGCATCAGGAAGGAAAAATTTAAAGAGATCAGTATCTACTTGGATACTGTCCAGCATTTGTCCAATATAAACACTAAAAGGTTACATTAAAAATTACATATAATCAAGTCTTAAAATAATTAGAATGAAGACATTTAAATAATTTGTAAAATTTATATACAGATGGAGAGAATCCAAGTTACAACTGTGTTTATGAAATTATAACAAAAATGTCTATAGATATGATATAAAAAGCATTCAATTTATATCTACTTCATCTCCTTTTGTTGCTTTATTGCTCTAGCTAGAATTTCAAGGACAATATTGAATAAATATGGAGAGAGTGTAAAAAAAAAAAGAATCATGTCGAAATGTGTTCAGTCCTAACACCGTCCTTCTATGTATTCCTCCATCTTTCAGGGCCTCTTGTCTTGTTTCTGTTAAAATCATTCCGTTCACTAATCCTGCAGATGTGTAGATACCATTTGCCAATAAAGTATATTCAGATTAAAAAAAAACAATAGATGCCATTTCTTGGGTGATTGCTATAGTCATCATAATAACCATCAACCGCTGAATGCTGTCTGGTGAACCAGGCACAATACTGATTTCTTTACGTATATCCTGCCTTGTGTGATTGTTCATACATTGAATCAGAAACTCTAATTACCAGATGCTAAGATGTAAAAACATCTGTCTTCCCCTCCCCACACTGTTGGTGGTACCTGCAGCTTCTAGTGAGGGTCCAGCCGACAAGAGGGAAGACGGAAGAAGTGTTGGCCTGGGAATGTGTCTTGTGCCTTCACTCCCTTGCTGCTCAGCTGTCCCGTGCTTCTCTTCTGTCTTGACAGTGCCCAAGCATGTAAAAGGCTGCGCATTGTCACCTGCAGGCAGAAGATAATTTGCAGCTGGAGACAGGACACAGCATGTGTGCTGGAGAGAGCCGTGTGCAACCCTCGTCTCACCTGGCTTTCCTGGGACATGCTGGGCCAAGGAAAGCTGAACTAAAATAATTGAAGATACAGCTTTTGCTGTGCCTAAAAGATGGCTTTGAAATATTTAAGAATTGTGTAGACACATATTACATCTTGTCTTGGACCTGATCATATTTTTTTAAGGTTATAAAGAATGAAAGATTTTTTTATAAGCTATAAATGTGCAAAATGGAGTAAGGAAAACTGAGATCCTCTTACTCCTGGCCCTTTACTCCCAGCTGAGATCAGGAGAAAGAAATCATGGAATTTAGGGAAGATTTAATCCTTAGCCATGAGTTAAAAACAAATACCATGTGTCTTGTTCTGAATGCAAGTTACCACAGGGGCCAAGCATTCAAGAGCAGGGAGCAGAAGAGAGGATGATAACTCCTGAGGGTTGGCGTTATGGTTGAATCTAAACTGCCGCCCCAGGCTCATGCTCCCTGGCTGGTGGCACTGTTTTGGTAGGGTGCTGGAATCTTTAGGAGGTGGGGTCTCACTACTGGAAGTAGGTTACTGGGAGCTAGTCTTAGAGAATTAGGACCCTTCCTGCTTCCAGCCGGTCTCCCTCTATTTTTCGGTCTACTGCTCTGTGAGGAGTCTATACCACATACCTCTTTGGTCACAAACTCTTCCATATCTTTTTGATACGATAGATTGTATTATCTGAGATCCTGAACCAAATTAATCTTGAGCTATTTCTGCTAAGCATTTCTGTCACAGTGATACAAAAGTAACCAATAGAAAACTGGAGGAAGTTAGTAGGGATTTAAATATATGCATGCTACTGCACAGGATACCCGTCCACTCTGGGATTCCATCTCCATCAAGACTAGGCAGAACGGATGGTCTTAACACCCTAAAAGTGGGGCTTCAGTTCCAGGCTGGAGGCCACGCATCTCAGCCGAGGTGTCGCACACTGGGGTGCACCAGGAAGGCACCATCTCTGCAAAACATTCATTAGGCTATGCTTGTAGAAGCCTGCTCTAGTCTGAGGTTGCTCCAGCTAAGGGAAACTGAGTCCCTAGGGATACTGATTGAACAGCACTGTGGCTCTGTCCCTGGACATAGTGGTCTGCAGAGAGCGCTAGGTACCAGATTTCTAGAATGTAATACATTCCTTCCACTCAAAATATGTACAAAGTCAGGCATGGTTGCATACACTTGTAAACCTAGCACTCGGGAGGCTGAGGCAGGAGGATTTGCGTGAGTTTGAAGTGATCTTGAGTTATATAGTATATAATACATAATATAATTACATGTTATATTATACATTACATATATTATATATATAATATACTATAGTTTAGCAAGCTGTAGTATGAGAGCCTGACTCAACATATTAAACTAAGCTAAATTACATGCAAGAGGCAAGGGAGGTGGAGCTGTTCTTTCTGTAGGATTTAGTTTGGGAAAATGAGCTAGCAGGCCAGAAACTTGCTCTTGGCTGCACAAACAACCATGAAGGAAATGGTTCCGGTCAAGCTAAGTCCTTCCCCAGGCACTGAGGACACCTGCAGGAATAAGAGTTTGGAATGTTAAGCATTTGAATTGCACTGGTTATCTTCTAACTCAGCATGGTGGTCTTGGGTTTCCAAAAGACCTCTCCAGTAGTTAATGGAGGCCCATTAAATATAGTACGACAGTTCTCTGATTTTGTTGGCGAGAATCTGAAGCTTGAAAGGCAGTGGTTGGTTCATTTCCACAAACCACAGACATCTCAGTAAAAGTCACTGATGCTCAGAGCCTGCAGCCTGGGAGAAGCGAAGGGTCTTACCACTCTGATGTGACTGTTTCTAACAGCTGCCTAAGTGAAGACACCGGGGTAATGTACAGATCCATTTCCCTCAGTCCTTAAAGGATGCTGCTCACACCTACCTACGTGATTGTGACTTGTTTTGATACGCAAATGTGGATGTGGCTCTTAGGCTCAGACTGAGATGGGCATTGGTTTTTTAAAAGAATACTTACGTAGGATTATGGAAAGGCTAGTGATAACATCAGAGTTGGGTTGCTTGTGTTGGGCCTCCTTCTGGAAAGTTCAGACTTTCCAGAGAGGCCTTGCTTCTGTCTGAACTCCTGGAGGGCTAATCAGGTACTGTGAATATGGTTCAAAGCAAGTGCAAATCTCGTGATCTAAGCCCTGGGCATTATCCGTGGACTGCTGAATCCTGTCTGTGTGCTACTTGTATGACAGAATGCAAAGGAATGAGGTTGCCCACCTATGCCTCAATGGCCTCAGAAAAAACTCAGCCCAGCTGAAGGGACAGACGTAATACCGACAGGACCATTAAGCCCTCAGCGAAGGTTGTGCACAAGGAAGTGGGTTCCTGGAGAGCTGAAACCATCGTGGAGCAGGGGACTGGACTAGATTGCCATGGGTGGAGAGTGTGGTGGCACAGAAAGCAGAAGACACTGACTGGCGGAGGCGATCACTGGAGACGTAAGTGTGCCTGCTTATCTCTAGCTAGATTGCGCACTGCCTGGCGACCTTTCCCTCTGTGACCAGCACACGGTCATGCATACAGCAAGTGAACGACAAACATCTGAACAATGAGATTGTGAAATGTTCAGAAATAAAGAGGGGAGGTGCACTCACTGCAGTTGCTAACATTAGTGAAAACGGATTTTTAAATTCGTTGTTACCACTCCCTAAACACCTCTGTGGCTATACTTACGAGGAAGGAAGAGAATCCTAATGGCTCCTTGTCTTATGCTCTTACGTTGACAACGGGTTTGTTTTGTGGATACGGGAATCACCTCAGGACTTTATATACGCTAAACACTACTCTACCCCTGAGCCACAACCCTGACCTAGACAGTGTTCTTTTTCACACCCAACATGTTTTTGTTTTTTTTTTTTTAAACAACAACTTTGATCCTATTTTAAAGGACCTAAAAAGCACTTCCAGAAAGGGAGAGGGCTGCTTTGCATGGTGTGTTTTAGAGGAATTGGCGATAGGGGCTGAGGTCACTGATTTGGAGGCCTGATAGCCCAGTGAGGGATTTATCGTGTGCCCTGGGACAAAGAATGGGTGACAGGCTCCCTCTGGACTCAAGCTAAGGAAGAAACAAAGGCATTAGAAAGCAGGGTCTCTCTCTTCACACAGGCGGCGTCACTTCTGTTTTCACGCAGCCAACAGCAACTGTGACTCCATGTTAAAAGCACATGGCTTCTTGTTTTCCAAGATGAAAAGTGAGCAAATCCAGAACCCAGGCGGAGGAATCTTCTCGCTCTCTCACACAGCTGCACTCCCGTGGCCCAGGCATCCTGCCAGCCCATAAACACCTTGATGACTTACTCTGATAGACTTGCAGGCCTTGCAGGCAACAGGGGACCTGGGGAAGTTTGGTCTGAAGTACTGATAATACCACACACCTCTGGGGCTCACGTGACCCTGAGCCCCCAGAGAGGATGAGGGATAAGCTTGTTGGGCTGATGGAATGGGATGAGATTGCTAAGAAAGAGAAAAAAAAAATCGCCTGAGGTCTTGGGGCTTTCAGATGTGCAAAGGGCTGTGATCTTCTGGGCATCAGCCTTGGTGGCCATCCTCATTCTAGGGAACCCTTGTGACTTTGGAATCATCCACATCTGCCCTCTTGTTCTGACAGTTTGCATTATACTGAATGTCTACAGTTAGGACTCTAAACAGAGTATAACTTGAGGGAAGTTGGGGTTCAGAGTGCAGACAGGCTCTGAGGAGACTTCAGTGCCCAACCTTCTCCCAGATTTCCACCCTGTCACCCAGAGAATCTGGGTTTCTATGCCCAAACCCTACATCTTTGCTGTCTGCCTGCCCCCAAGTTCACTACCTACCCTTTCAGTGTGGTGACATCTTCTTGTCCTGCCCAAATGTCACTTGGAGCCAGCCTCCCCACATGGTCTTTCCTTCTATTTTTCTGGGATAGGTGTGTCAGCCCGCTGCTTGCTGTGATGTGTTATGCCCACCTTCCTGCATCAGGTGCAGACCCAGACACTGTGAGCAAGAATACAGAGAAAGAGTTAACTTGACACTAGGCTCTGCTTTGCACGTGGATGTACGTGTTTCTAGTGTACCTACAAACACATCCCTGAGTAGTATTTATATGGTGGGCTTCTGTCTGATATTTGTTGATAATTATCTGCTTCTGTATAGAAATGCATTGTGTGTGTTTATTAAGTATGTCTGCGCTTGATACACTTACGAAATTATTATGTATACACTTAGAATTTCTAAAAATAACAGAAGGAATAGATTTGTTACGTAGAAGCCTCAGTTGTACCCAGGTTTATTGATTTCTGATGGGGTCTGATGACCCATGTCTCCCTGGAGGCCTCCAGGGCTGGTGTCTAGGGTCAGATTCCCAACTTTATGAAATTGGAAGGAGGGTTTTATCTTTTCTGCCTCTTGCTCAAATTGGGTCTCTTCCAGTGCTGAATTTTGTGAGAGCTCACGTGATGGGTGATATGGTATGCCAGTGTGGCCGGGTCATGGCATCAGACACATGGTCAAACATTATTCAGGATGCTTCCAAAATGTTTTTGTATAAGATTGGTATTAGAACTGTTAGAACTGATTTTTTATTTGTTTTGGTTTGGTTTTTTGAGACAGAGTTTCTCTGTAGCTTTGAAGTTTGTCCTCTGTCCTGGAACTAGCTCTTGTAGAACATTCTGGCCTCTAACTCACAGAGATCCGCCTGCCTCTGCCTCCTGAGTGCTGGGGATTAAAGGTGTGCACCATCACTGCCCAGCTTAGAACTGGTATGTTTTGAGTAAAGTAAATTGATGTCTTCCTTTGTGTGTGTGGGGTGTGTGTGTGTGTGGTAGGGTCATCTTGGTAGCTGAAATTCAGTCGAAACAGGAGACAGACCCCTGCCCCTGAGGACCAGAGGAGTCTCTGGACAGCCGGCCAACACCTGCAGCCGCAGCACAAGTCTTCCCTGGTCTCTAGCCTGCAGGCTGTTGTGAATACTTTGAATTTATCAAGCTTGTGCTGTCACATAAACCAGTTCCATCAAGGAAACCTCTTTCCATATGTCTTCTTATACAGAAATCTCTTTTTATATGTCTTCTTCTATGTGAGTGATTCTGTATCTCTGGAGAGCTCTGACTTATTGTCTCCCATAAGAAACAAACTCAGCACCTCACTGCAAACTCCAGGAGACTGCTGTGCAGTGTAGTGCCCTCCTCTCAGGGCGCAGACGGGGCGGGAGTCCACTGGAACAGTCTAAGGATCCCTCAACAACTCAGATTCCTAGTCTGCAGCTTCTGAGGCTATGTCCTCTCAGGATTTGTGTGGGCCCTGGAACCTGCACTTATAGGACACTGGGCTATTTTTTAACTATGTGACCCTAATTCATCTCAAACTGTTAAATTGCTCTGGTTTAGAGTACTGTAAAAAATCCCCCAAAATAAATAAAAACCAATCCTCTGGCCTGGGGTGTGTAATTCAAGTGAAAATTCTATTTTGGAGTAACAGAATTATAGTGACCCACTGTCCTGGGTTACATAGTGTCACCCTAAAACACACGTCTTTCCTGGAATCTCAGAATGTGACCATATATAGAAGTAAGGTCGTTGCAGATGTAATTAGCTTAGATGAGGTCATTCTGGAGGAGGGTGGGCCCTTAATCCAGTCTGACTGGTGTCCTTTGATGAAGAGGAAAAAAGACACAGGGACAGATACAGAGGAAAGGTGACCATGTGGCGGCAGAGGCAGAGCTTAGAGCTAGGAGGCTGGAAAGCCAAGAAGCTACTATAATCAGACCCCAGGGGACTCGGGTTATGCCTCAGAATCCCTGGGAAGAAACCCCCTTTTCTCATATCTTAATTTTGTACTCTTGCCTTCAGAACTGTGAAAGAATGAATGTCTGTTGCCTTAAGCCGCCCAATTTGTGCTGCTTTGTCCAGATGGCCCCAGTAAACTAGCTTGACTGCCTGCTATAAACAGGTCAATGGTTGGATGCAATAAACAGTTGTTTTCAGACATTGGACAATTGGCAAGGCAGGCCTATGATCCTTAGAGCAGGCAGATGGACGGGGCAGCATCCATGTGAACCACCATTATTATCAAAGCTAACTATGGAAACTCTGCCCCTAAAAAGCAGGGGTTCCTATTGGGAGGAATTTCCCATAAGGGTTGATACTTAGCAATCTAGACAGCAGATGTCTAACCTCAACCCACATGGCATTGCTTACTTCAGGCTCTAAGCACATGATCAAGGAGCACTCGTGAACAGCGGCTCCCAGGCTGATCCTGTCTCTGAAGGTTTAGATCTTTAACAAGAATTCTCGACCCTGGCTGGACATTGGATTGCCTGAGGAACGCCTGCACAACCTATGGATGTTTACTGCAGATGCAGGGGGATGGGGAGAGGCAAGCATCCACATTTCTTCAAACCTTTGCCTGGGATCTTGAAGATTCCGAAGGAGGTCCTTTGGTTACTTGCTAAATCACTCATCAGCCTCTTTGAATAATTCCTGTGCAAACTTAACGTGAACAGATTTTTGTAAGGAGACGTGGATGCCTTCTAAACTACCCCTCCACTGTTGTGTGAGTGCATCTGCATAGACAACCTCCAAGACAAGAAGGCATTCTGTGTCATGTGACATTGCTGGTCTGATGTCCTCCCCTTTTCTAGGGATGTTTTTCTTAGAGGATCAGCCACAGCTCCCTGCTGCGCACACTTTTATTTCCCAGGGCAGCTGGTGCTTTTCCTATCCTCAGCAAGAACCACAAGGCTTCTATGAGAAAAAGGCACAGACCAAGTGAGCAGCCGAGGACAGCAGGGCATACTGTCTCAGTTCTGGAAGCGAGACTGGAAACGAAGGCACCCGAGGAGCCAGTTGCCTGGGAAGTTTCTGTAGGACACTCCTGGGTCTCTTTCTGTGTTTGCCACTGAAGCTCGGAATGTGTCACTTCTGCCTATGTCTCGTGGTCATATATTGTCTTCCTCCTACGCTTGTGTCTTTCTGCACCTCCAGTCTCTTCTGAGAAGAATGCTGCTTTCCAAATTCAGTACTGAGGAATACACTAATGATGGAGAATTAGAATTAGAAGCATTAAGATAAACCACACTGTGGCTCTTTCAAAGCAACAAAATAACTAAAACATCAACAACAAGAAATGGTACCGATTAGGTTGAAAGAAGGGGCCACCCTACTTCATTATGACCTTATTTTAGTGACATCTTCAGAGACCAGGTTTCCAAATGATGTCCCTTTATTTGGAGGTACTAGGGTTATAGCTTTATAATGACCTGAATGTTTGTGTCCCTTCCAAAATCCATGTGACATATTAAGACGTAAAATCTCTAAGTGGTAAATTCTGAGGCCAGAGCCTTCACAGATTATGCCAATGACTTTATAAAGGGGCTGAGAGAGGGGCTGGGATGTAGCTCAGTTGGTAGAGAGCTTTGTCTAGTATGCATGAAGTCTTAGGTTCCATCCCTAGCACCATATAAAGCCGCCATGGTGGCAGACGCCTGTCATCCTAGCATTTGGGAAGTGAAGGCAGGAGGATCCTAAGTTCAAGGACATCCTCCCTACCCTAGAGTTTATCTCAAAACCAAGTCCCTAAGTGCCACCCGCACTTGGTTTTGAGATAGCATTCAGTGTCTCTTTACTACTGAGATATCATCTTGGAAAACAAACACCAGACCCTTTACTATCTATGAATCAGTCAGATCCCTGCCCTTGGACTTCCTGGCTTTCATAACACAAACAGTGGTTTTATACTATTTACAAATCCCGCTATTTCAGAGCAGCACGGACAGACTAAGATGGACATCAGCATCTCTCTTTGAGAGACACAATACCATGGAGACCACAGCTCTGATAGTTAGTCTTCAGTGCCAACTTGAGTGGATGGGCATGTCTTCAGGGCGTGGGAGTGCCCTGGGCATGTCTACAGGGGTGTTTCCAGAACAACTGAACTGGGGAGGGAGGGCCACCCTGAGTGTGGGCAGCGGCACCTGAGGGCTGGGGACCCAGAGTGGAGAAAAATGAACAAAGGAGGAAGTGATGTGAGCATCAGTATTCATCTTTCTTCTTCCTGACTGGGGATGCAGTGTGCCCACCTGCTGCATGTCCACTGTCTCCTCTGCCAGGATGGACTGTAACCTTCCAAACTGACCCAAAACAAGCCTGCTCTTCCAGCGTTTGTGAGGACTTTTGTCACAAGGAGAAGTAATGAACACATCTGTGCTGGTTTTACCTGGTTGTGGGGTATGCTTAGATAGCTTGGTTATCTTTGGCTAACACAGCCACCTTTTCTTCTAGCTTTTTAAAGCAGAGACCTGCAGTCTATTCAAGGAGAGTTCTGTACTCTTGCTTTGCAAAGTATAAAGAGTCCTCCTGCTTCATCTATGGCACCCAGGTCACCTGGGAGCACATCAGACATGCAGACTCTGGTCCCACCCATGCCTACCAAACTGGTCACCTGCAATTCACCAGGCTCTCCAGGCAATTCAGGTACAGGTCAGATTTGGAAGGGCAGTGGTCCATAGAACGAAGAGGCATTTTCCTTTTGAATACATAAAATGCCCTTTGTTTAAATGGGAAAATTTAACCACTGACCAGTCCTTTCTCAAATATTCTCTAAATATCCCTAAAGTTAAGAAAAGAAGTTTTGAAGTCTATGCATGGTGGAATATGCTTGCAGTCCGAGCACTCAGGGGTCTAAGGCAAGGGGACTGCAAATTCAAAGCTATCCTGGGATACATAGCATGTCCTGACTCAAGTTGATCATCTCAAATCCTTCACGTTTAACTGGAACTGTTCCAGTGTCAGGTAAACCATGTTAAGGAAAAAATCTGACAGAATTATTCCCAGTTGGTAGTAGTTCAAGCTTGGTGGGAGGCTGAGAGATTGGTGATGGGGTTCCGAGAGTCTTCCCAATGGGGACCACTCAAATGGTATTTGGGGTATTGGAAGGACAAGTGGCTTCAATCACGGAAG